TTAATATCATTAAGTGAATATAAAGAAGAATAGAGATCTTATTTTGATCTTCTTGCAACAATCTTACTATATTTGATTATTATCACCATCTTCTAAAACAACGCGATCATTAAGAAGTTATATAAAATTGCCAAATTTAATTTGTATTTTAAAAATTAGAAAAAATAGGAGTGGTTAAAAAGGAAAGTGGTCAACACCACGTTACCTTTTTTTTTATATGCTTGGAAGGATTCCTTTTTATGAAGGAAATCAAACAAGGAAATATTTTTAAAATCTTGAAATTGTATTTAAATAAGGAGATGTTTGATAGTAAAAAATTATTAGATAATTTTTAAACCTTAAATATTAGAAAAATAATAAAATGGCTATTTTGTCTAGTGTGAGTTCTATTTAAAAGGATAAAAAAGGCGAACGACATTTTGCTAAGAGCCTTCGTACTTTTAACATAGTATGATAGATAGATAGATTAAATCCTAAATATTAGAAAAATAATAAAATGACTATTTTGTCAAGTGTGAATTCTATTCAAAAGAATAAAAAAGCCGAACGATATTTCACTAAGGGCCTTCGTACTTTAAATATAATATAGTAGATAGATAGATAGATAGATAGATATAGATAGATATAAATATAAATATAGATAATTTTATTGGCGTGTTAATCTCCAGCTACTCATTTCTTTCGTAGTTTCTGCGATACTATATACTTTCTACTTACTAGTTTGTTTTAATATATTTTTTATTTGAAAATAATCTAACTTTAAATTCACCTTTTATTCTTAGTAAAAAGTTTTTATAGTCAAACAAATATTATAGCATATTTAAAACAGTAAAATTTTAAAAGTCATTTTTTCTTATATCTCATACTGCGACAAATTATATTAGAAATAATAGAGTATTATCTTTCTACTATTCAATCAATTTTATAGAAAACTTTTTATATTGAACTCTGGCAAGTGCTAACAAAATCCTCTTCTACCTTCTTGTTCCACAATGTTCACAAGTTAATTTAATTTTTAGAGTCAATTTCGTACCCCCTTAACTTTTTAGTGTTGGGAAATAATACCCCCCTCACCTCTTGAATGGGAAAGAGAGCCCCCTTTAACTAAAGAATTAACAAGCATAATGAGAAAACTATCACCGGAAAACTCAACCAGCTTTTAAGATAACTAATTCAATTTTAAGAAACTTAATTACTTAATTTGGTTGTTATTAAACTGATTCAAATACATATATAGTATATTTTATTTTATTTTGTGGATCTTATTATCCTCAATATGCGAACATCTGGCTCCAATGACGTTCCAAATTCTTTTGTGCCAACTAATAAAGGTTGACGAAAATAGATTTAAGTCATGATGCTGCTTAATCTCATAAATATTCACGAAATCGATGTGTGGCACCAACTAGTAGCTAGTATAGCTTTGAGTTATTGTAGTAAAATACAATGTTCACAGACCAGTAATGGGTTAAATATTGTTTTAGTTTAATTTATCTTCTCGTTAGTTACTTTGCTACAGATAACTCTGCGCGCACCATAAAAAGGAGAATTCGACTTTGTTTTTTTCATATGCTTTGATATTGGCATCAAACAAGCTTAGCTCAAATTGATATTAGCCATAATTGTTGAATAATGAAGAATAAAGGTTACTTGCGAGATACAACTTAATGTAAGTTACTTTTGATATTTGATCTTTTTCCTTTGTCCAATCTATTAACATCGGAGTACATGCCCATTATATTATTCATATTTGTAGGTTGATGGTTATTATCATGACATTAACTAAAAAAAGCAATTAAATTGGTTAAGACGTGATGACACTAGTTTTCTCTCCAAACAAGGATTGTTATATCATTTTGTAAATTCTGGTGACCATTTTTTCATTTCGTTGGTTGTCTTTTGGGTCAAAGGGGGTTCTCTTTCCCATTCAAAAGGTGAAAGGGGTATTGTTTCCATATGCTAAAAGGTTAAGAAGGTAAAGTGGAATTTACTCTAATTTTTATGCATTGATGAGTGCAAAGATTGTTTCTATAACAAGATTATCTAGAACCAATCCAAATAATTATCTCTAATAAATGCAGATGCTTAACTTGAACCAAACAAGAAAGTGATATGTTATAAGTAAGTAGTTACTCCCTCCGATCCATAATAAGTGACCAATTTATCTTGGACACCCATTAAGAAAATATTAAATTCTAGACAAAAATAGTTAGTGTGACTAAATTACCCTTAATTAAATGTTACATTATAATTTAATGTGATAAGTAAAAAACTTTTTAGGAATACGTACACAAGGGTAATTTTGGAAAAATAAATTAAATTTTTTCTTGATAAATAGATACTTATTTTGAACCAAAATAAAAAGGTAAATTGGTTATTTACTGTGGACCGGAAGGAGTAACAAATATGTAAGGTGTAAACTGTAATCCAAATATAAGATTTTAAAAAAATAAATAAAGAATTAGTAAAAGAGAAAGAAAGAAAAAGGAAAAAAAAGCCAATCATAATAATAACTTAAAGAAAGGAGCCAATCATTAAAGAGCCGTTTCCTTTCCGCGTCCAATAATTAATACGTAGCTAAAAGCAAGACAAAAACAAAAAGAAACCGTATACAACTTTAACATTAGCTGGCCTAGAATAGCATCTCCAGATGGACAAAACCGTAATTCAACCCAAGTCCACTTCTAAACCGAGTACACAGAAAAAGTTTCGCCGTTAATTTACCCAAAACCACTCTCATCGTTAAATGCTTACTCGAATCGAGTAAATTTTTAAGAGGAATTTATGGAGTTTACCTATTAAATTAAAACTAATTATTCGGTTATACTCACTTGGATAATAATTACTATACATAATTACTTCATATAAAATTATTACCCGTCCTCCATCCATTAAGAAAGTCTTTAAAGGCTTCAGGGGCAACAAATCTATACCTAACCTATACAGGACCTTTCTTCCTTCAATTCAAAGTAAGAAATATTTTATTTCTATCTTCATCGATTTCCTCTCTTTGTTCTTGCTTCTATTTTTATAAGTAAAATTGTTTATCTGATAGGCTATATTTTTATAATATTCACAAAGTAAAATATTGATAATTAATGGGAGCAAGGAGTAGCATTTTTTTTTAGTTATGTGATGATTTTGTGTATACAAAAAAATATACTTGCTCAATATCTATAAATTATGATTCAATTAACTCACTACACGCACGCATGTAGCATAGTTTTCTCTTGCTGAATGAAATCATCGCCTATTGAATACCTTTCATCGCCACAAAATGCTCTCTCCCTCCCTACAAATTTTATATTTTCTCGTCGGTAATTATTCTAGTTCGAGTCATTTCTTGAAAAAATTTAATTATGATTCTGTTGCTATTAAATATTGCTTATAGTACCTTTTGGAAATTCATACTGAAATTTGATCACAATTGGAGCTGATTTGAAGTGATCGAGATAGAATTTTAGCTGAAAATCGAAAAAGAACACAGTTATCCAACAATATACTACTATGGTATACAATATGTTGTAGAAGTATATAGCTATACTACAATAGTATATTGTTATAGTATATAATATACTACAACAGTATATTGTAATAATCGAAGAAGAACACAGTTACCTAACAGTATACTGCTACAGTATACAATATACTATAGGAGTATATAGTTATACTACAACAGTATACTATTATAGTATACAATATATTGTTGTAGTATACTGTAATAATATGCAATATACTGTAATAGTATACAATATACTATAATAGTATACTTATTACCCGTAAATTCACTTGCCTTTTCCCTTCTAGTTTTCTTTAAGCTTTTACCCTACGCGTGGGGCAAATTTAAAATGCAAAAAAAATATATTATAGTATGCTATATAATGTAGCGGTATGCTCTTACAATTAGATCCTTTTAGAATTTTTTGAAATTTTTATTGATAGCTCATATTATTTCAGTTTAATAATTGAATTAATTTTTTTTAACTCTTTGCGTACAATTGTATACCCTGTTGGTATATCTATATACTATACTGGTATCATATGTTAGTTAATATTTTTTGGTTGTATTAGCTACATTTAATTGGCACACATTTGATTTTTCTTTAGTAATAATAGTATAAAAAAAGAATAATAAAAAAATAGTAAAAATGGTAAATGAATTAGATTATGAAGAGAAAAAGAATATAAAAAAAAAGAAGTTAAATGAAATTGAAAAAGGAAAAAAGAAAAAATTAAGAAGAAAACGAGAAAAAAGAAAAGGAGAAAAGAAAAAAAAAGAAGCATAGAAATTAAAAAGAAATGGAGAATAAAGAAAAAATTCCCCATAAAAACTACTATGGGTAGGAAATGTAATTAGTTTATGGGTAGAAAAATAAATGGGTAGACAAGGGTAAATAGTTTTGTTTTTGTGGGTAACTGTGTCAAACAGCGGAAAGGACCAAATATTCCTATACTATGAAAAAATGATATATGTCAAATATATCTTTTGTTATATTTTAGTCCAGATTAGTTCAAATATACCCCTATTCTGTTAAGTTTGTCCAATGAGAACATTCAATCCTACGTGACACTAACATTGATGAGGCAAAATGTCACGTGGCATGGCATCTCAGTGCCGTAAAAACCATTTTACCCTTCTTTTCAATCTTTTTTTATCACTAAAATTTTCTTCCCTCGAAGAAAATTTTAGTAGTGGAAAAACAAATAGAGGGAAGGGTTAAAGTAGGTTAGGGGCACTGAGATGGCATACCACGTGGCATCCATCTCATCAATAATTTAATTTTAATAGTCGAGAATAAAAATGAAAATACATACTCCTATTATTTAATTACGATTATTAAGTAATAAATATGTCTATGCACATAAGTAAAATCTGCAGAGGGCAAAAGCGTAATTAACAAGAAGCCCACTCTAAACCGAGTAGTCAAACCCAAACTCCTTTCGCTATTAAATTTACCCAAAAGCACTCTCCCACGCTAGTCACCCGGGGCCCACGCCACCCGAACTAAATTCCCGTCTATCTTCACACCCTTTTTCTTCTTATCTCCCCCTTTCTCTAGCCCCTGCAACTCATTTTTCTTCATTCTTTTCTCTCTCTACACATCCCAAAACCAGCAATTTTTAAGAACTGGGTTTTGTTGATTTCTTCATAATCCCGGTGAGAAAATTATAAATTGGGTTTTGGGTTTCGGATTTGTAGATGAAGAAATATACAAAAGAGTAAATTTCGCCTACAAATCATAATTTCTTACCAAAAATGTTAACCCCTTATGCTCCTTTAATTTTACCCTTTTCAAAACCCATGTCTCACCGTTCTCTTATCGGCGCTAATCATACTTCTGCTCGTTTCTGTTCTCGGTAATCCCATCTTTTCTATTTTCCAATATTAGCTTCTTTCACTTTTGTATTTTCCAATTTTTGTTGATAATATTTACAAAAAATACACAAGAATACGTTGTTTGATGGATCATAGTACGGGAAAGCCGGGTTTTTTAAGGAATGTGTTGGTTCGTTTGTTTCTATTTTGTGTTGTGATTCTTGGTTGTCGGTTTGCTTACGTGGTGACTCTCAAAGGCGAAACCTGTGACCTCGGCGATTTTTGTTTCTTTTCCCTGCCCGAAAATCTGAATGTTATTACCTCCGGCGTCGGGCAGCTGACCGAGTCTGTATCAGCGGTCATGACGACAAGCGAAAAATCTGCTCCGGCGAAGCCCAAACTTCCCGATCTATGGACCAGACCAGATTTCCAAAAATCGGCCCGTTTCCATTCTTCTGTGTTTCAGGATCTTGTTGCAGAGGGGTTTTTGAGCCCGAATTCAAAGACCCTTTGCGTTGAAACTCCAGTAGGTGCTGATGTTTTCGCTTTAAAGGAAATTGGGATCGCCGACTCAGTTGGGATATACAAGAAAGGCTCAAAGCCTTTGGTTATTACAGGTAAAGCTGTTAAACAGCCTTTTGAAGATAATACATTTGATTTCATATTTTCCGGTGCCGGAATGATAGATAAGTCGACGAAGCCAGGGGATTTCGCGGCGGAGATTTGTCGGACTCTGAAACCCGAAGGGTTTTTGGTGGTCCATACAACAGGTTCTAAAGATACGTACAGTTTCAATTCATTCCTTCATTTGTTTAACTGTTGTACATTGATTAAGTCTAGGAATATTGATGGTTTTGATTCAAATACTATTCGTGAGATTGTTATGAAAAAGGTTGTTTTTGGGGATGTAAATGTTGAAGAAAAAGTGAGTAGTGATTCGAAGAACAAATGTAATGTTCCGGATTATAAACTGAAGCTGGTTAAAAAAGCTGAGCCTTTGATTAAAGAGGAACCTAAGAAACCATGGATTACTCTAAAGAAGAATGCACAGAAAATAAAGTACTTGTCGTCCATGGCGGATATAAGTTTTAAGCAGAGGTATGTGTATGTTGATGTTGGGGCGAGGAGTTACGGTTCGAGCATTGTGAGTTGGTTTAAGAAGCAGTATCCGAAACAGAACAAGACATTTGAGATATATGCTATTGAGGCTGACAAGACTTTCCACGGGCAGTATGAGGGTAAAAAAGGGGTGACTTTGTTGCCCTATGCTGCTTGGGTGAGGAATGAGACGTTGTCGTTTGAGATTAATCAAGACCCGGGTCATAAAGACGTGGCGAAAGGGCGAGGGATGGGAAGAATTCAACCTGTTGAATCTTCTAGTAACTCTGCAAGTGAGGTGGATTTGATCCAAGGTTTTGACTTTGCTGAATGGTTGAAGAGCAGTGTATCGGAGAGGGATTATGTCGTGATGAAGATGGACGTTGAAGGCACTGAATTTGATTTGATTCCCAGATTGTTTGAAACCGGGGCAATTTGCCTGATTGATGAAGTTTTTCTTGAATGCCATTACAATAGGTGGCAGAAATGCTGTCCTGGGGAGAGGTCTTCTAAGTATGAGCATACATATGGCCAATGCTTGGATCTCTTTACTTCTCTAAGAGAAAGTGGAGTTCTTGTTCATCAGTGGTGGTGATCTTCAATAATCCAGCATAGTTTCAGTAGCTTTAGTTTTTTCTTATTTCTCTTTGTAATTCTCACACAAGCAGGAAAAATGTCATCCTTTTTATACATCTCGTTGTAGTCAAATATCATCTGTATCACGTTCGTGTTGTTTAATTCATTTGCTTGTACAATAACAGTTGTGAGTACACAACTATGTGTTAGCTAGCACGTAGATATAGAGTAAAAAGGTTCAGCTGAGATACGTTACTTCTTTTTTTCTGTTTCAATTCAGACAAGTTGGACAAAATTTGCATGAATTCATGTGTTTGAGTTAAACTTGTTTTTTGTCTGGTATTTTGAGTGGTGGGGGGCAGGTTCTTTGCTCTGAAGTGTGGCCTGTTTAAACAATTTGCCTAGGAACTTTTGAGGATGGTAAGAATTTGGTTCATTTGTTGTCGTATGTCAGGTAGTTTCCTTGGTTTTGTTTCTTATTGACCTTATGTGATTAACGATTTTGCTCCCTGTCCAGATGTTGAAAGTTTTAGATAGACTGATGTTGTGATGTAGGGGTGTATCTTTCCTTTAGACAAAACCAAATCAACTATGTTTCAGCTTGTAAACCCATCTAATCCAACCAAATTAACATAAAAGCAGTTGTTGTTGTAATCATGTTAGTGTTAAGCTTTTTAATGCTAGGTACTGATAATAGCAAAAGAGTTCATAACGGTCAACAAAAACTAATGGAGTGTTTTTCTTGTGTTACTGGAAACACGACTTGAAGCAGAGTTACTTACTTTTTGCCAACAGTCTCGCTGGTTTTACAGCTTCAGTCATAAAACATAAGAATGCAAGGATAGAAAATAAGTGAGATTGAAGAAGATATACTTGGCAGCATTTTTCGCCTGGAATATTACATTTATATGTAGACACTTGTTATCTTTTAGTATCGCCTAATAAAGTAATGACACCCTTACTTGCAGTGCAATACTTCTTCAGCTATCGAGGTGTGATTCAGTCTCGAAAAGTTGGCCGAGAATCACATAAATAATGTCAAGTCCAGATTTTTACTACGAAATTCATTAAGTCGAGAACAAGTAATTCTTACCATTCGAATTTACAGTGACATAAGCAATGATGAAAAGAATACTACAGCAACTACTCCTATTCCCAAATTAGTTCACGTTAGCTATATGAATCTTCGTACAGGTGGTAAAATTGTTAAAATAAAAAAGTTATACACCCATATTATTCATTAAAAAATGGATTGGGTAATACACTTTTTAAAAACAGGTCGAATATGGATAGATTATTATCCACTTAGAAATTGAATAACCAATAGATAATTAATGGGTTTAACTTTTACATTTGTAAAGCCTCAAATTGAGGTTTCTCAAGTTTGGAAGACTAAAAATTCTCTCGAAAATGATCATATTCAAGAAGCCATAAATAATATGGATATCGGTATTATCCGCCGGATAACCTATTTTTTATGCATATTAAATATGGGTCGCATCGATAATTTATCTGTTTTTAGAGTTACCCATTTTCGACCCGATCATATCCGACCCGACTCACCCGTTTGCCACCCTAAATGTTCTATTATTACTACGTCGCATCCGAGTTAGTTGAGGTTCTTATATGAATCATCATTATCATAGATTCTCCGTTTGGTCCATAATAATTCAGTACTTAAGATAATCTAACATGATGAGGAGACTACTAGATAAATTATTATAATTTGAAGTAAACAATTAATCTGTAATAAATAAATTTTGAAAACCAGAACACTTAGAGAAAGGGTTGGACACTTGATTGAAGAAATAACCTTGCTTGCCTACATCAATTACGTAAAATGATGGTCTTCTGCACCCAGATTATTAGTTAATAGAGAAATGAAAAAGACCCCGTGGGGAGAAAGGGTATGAATATATGATCTACACAGACAGTCGTAGACCAGTTTCACAATCACTAGTCTGATATCTGCAACATCAGATATTACTTCAACCACTGCCATTCTAGTTGCAAACAATAAAATTCGGTCTCACTGCCACACAGAGAGAACTGAGAAAAGCCAACTCTTTAGTAAAAATTGCACGAAAATTACATCTTTCAATTCCTGGACAAGGACTTTATTATGGTGACCAAAGGGGAAACACCACAAACTCAATCTTGACATAAACTAAAAGCACCAAATGGAACTATGTTTCAAGTGAAAAATTATTAAACTTCATGGTCCCAAATATCTGCTACGCTCCTGTAAGGCCCATCTGTCTTGTTCACGAACAATTCTTCTCCGTCCAATACTCATGCCTGCAGAAACAAGGAATAAGAAACTCGACAGATCCTACATGCATGGTGCCGATCAGGGGTAACGATTAGGGCCTAACTTCACGTGTGATCACCGAATTTGTAATAATAAATTTACACGGCTATATTTTTTCACATTAAAGTCATTGTGCTTACGCACTATACCAATAAAGTCGTCAATATTATTTTTGACTCGATAAAATTCCAATAGTATTTGTGGAATTGACTTTTCATGTATTGACAGCTTTCTTCCAACATCACCAATTTGACTCTTTGTATTGCAGAATAATGCTTAGAATCTTAAATGACTAGAGAGAAGTACCTGATCTGGGATATCACAGAGGGCTTGGAACTCTTGCTCTGGAATTTCCCATGAAAACACTTTAATGTTCTCTTTGATTCTTTCAGAGTGATCAGATTTGGGAATTGTACTGGTTCTTCTTTGTATACCCCACCTCACTAGCACCTGTCCTGGTGATTTATTTACCTTTCTTGCTACCCTCTCCACCACGGGATGATGTATAAGATCAATTTCTCGTGAACCAAGAGGCGAAGATATTGCTAGTTAGTACAAAAGCATTTACATAAAGCATAGATATATGTTCAATAATCTAAGGGGCTTTCACTTCTGACACGTCTTTGCTCGTGATGCTTACAGCCTCCTTCCATCAATAGGTACTTCAAAGGCTGAAGCAGCTAACCTGATATCTAAGGAAAGGCGAACACGAACGCGTCAAATTCCGCCCTAGTATACTAGATTTGAACATCTAAGCTACTAAGCCACAGGTTTGCATTTGTGATTTTTCTTTTATCTTCAAACTTCACATAATCAAAAATAATACTACATTTTAGGTCCAATCATCAATGTCAATCTTGATCAAATTGTTTAATATATGTCATGCACATAGCTTCAGGTACTTACTGTGATGTGGATGTTATTTTTCTTGCAAGCCTCGAACATTTTTTCATTTCTCCATCCAGGGTGCGGTGCATCTCCATCTGAGTACGTAGGATCACCCATAAATACTAAAAAAGATGACATTGATACCATTTTTTAAAAGAAAATAATATTCAACTGACCTGGCATACAGAAGGCTTTATCTGGGCGATATCTAAGAGCTTACTAAGTTTCCTGACCGTAACATTACATACTCCAATATCTCGAACTAGTTTGTCCGTCACCAACTTCTCCATTTCTCTCCAAACGCCTTCCCAGTCGAAGTCGGACACTTCCCCCGCCTTTGGAGGTCTGCTCGCTCCGTCCTTTAGACGGAACGGCCAATGGATCTTCCACATAAAGTTCAGATACCTCAATTAGATTTCCATACTGAAACCAGATACCACAGAAAGAAAGGAGCGTGAAGTAGTACCAGATAGAGATCAAGATAATCTTGTTGCAGTTCATTGAGAGTCTTCATCAATGCTGGGCGAACTCTCTCCGGTGACAACTCAGTACACCTAAAACAACCAATAAAATCACCCTATATCCATATAATTTGTTTAGTTGCATATGAATGTAACAACTCCTAGGGATCTGAAATAAGTTAGCGTAGTTTCCCTAATACCATAGTTTAGATGTGACAAACAGGGATGATCTCTCTACTCCTGCTTGTATAGCTGCTTTGGTTCCACGGCCAACCTATATAAAGAAAAAAAAAAAAGTTAATGTCGTTAGTCATCTATTTTAGTTAATAAATTTCATACTTGCACGTTGATCCTAAGTCTAGATGACATCATTCTCTACCAATTACTTTGGTTGGAACATTGCATATCTGCAACATTCTTGACTATGTCCAGGATTTTCTAGTAAGCAAACAACATAGTATTCCTTACTCTCAATTGCTTCATGAATCAAAAGAAGCATTTGTAAGCCTCTTTTCTTTCCGTATGTGCGTCTAAGTGCATGTCAAACAACTTATACAAAAGATATTACTTGGATGTAGATCAACGATTTGAAAGAAAACTAACAAATTAAAAGTACCTCTTCCTCGACTCCATACTAAGCCGCTGTATCCACATGCCTGTAGCCATAGCCAATTGTCATCAAAAAGCAGCTTTATATCATCAAATTTGCTTATCAAAATACATGCTGATTACCTTGAGACAATTCATCAAGATCCATTTAACATATCATAAGGTATTATCGTTGCAAGTTTGACTATCATGCTCCAAGGACCAAGCCTTGGGTAATGGACATTGTAAAAGATGCTAATGACTCGAACACAAAAGAAGGACTAACGCAAAATCTATTGTAAATTTTTTAAAAACAATTTACACAGACATTATTTAAGATTTTTTTTAACGGAAAGGTAGAATAAGTACAAAATTCTGAATTTCTGCTCACATCTATGCAAAAGAAAAATGTTAAGAGGATAATAACCGATTAGATGTTATTGCATTTCTAAATTTCCTTAGATTCTGCATGCATGAGTGGATAATTGATATTGGACCAATATAACTAACACGGTAAGAATTATAAAGCATAGTAATACATACATGAGAATATTCTAATGTATATCCGATAATATCCATAAAAAATCATATTAAAGTCCAGGATATTAGGCTTTTGCACTGAGCAACTCCACAATGTATAAAAGAAACAAAGCCAAAATATATCTCTTGTCCAAGTACTTCTTTTGCAATAGCCTCAAACAAATCCCATATCACCTACTTACCTGTATCAATACACTAACTTCCGTTTGCTGATTTTACTTTAAATTCAAATGCAAAATTCCTGAAGATGATTGTTACTACAGGTGTGAGTTATAATTACACTACTTTAACTTTAGGCAGCAAATAACATGAGCATAGCCCGTAGGGGAAGGTCCATAAGTCATTGAATTCCCAAAAATGGAATTAAAAGAAGGTCTATGGAGACGATTAAGACCTTACAACATAACTTTGAAACGAAACGTAAAAAATAAAAGATCTAATCTTTAAGGGGCTGTATTTGTTGAGAAAGGTGTTACATAAGTCTTTAAAGGGTAGATTAGTCATTTTATTATACTCCACCAATAGAAATCTAGTAGGTGGTTCAGTTAGTTGGACAAGTGTATTATATATATACACGTGTATACACACATATTTAATAATAGAATAATATTTTTCTGATTCAATCTTCTTCATTCTTCTCCATTCTGTCTTCTTTCTGCATTTACACTTCTCGATTCCTCTTCTTCTTCGTACAATTTTATGATATCAGCGCACAGCTAGTAGACTCTAGCTTGTGGTTCGATCATTCTTCAACAGAATTAATCTCTGGTTAGTGTTCTTGAGTTCTTGATCAACAATGGCGATCCCACCAAATCATACAAATGAGCAACATGTACAAACTCCAGCTCCAACTCCTATGTTAGGGGTGAATCAAGCACCTGGAATAGACTATAATCACCCGTTGTTCCTGTCTCCTTCAGATGTTAGTGGAATCCAAATCATATCATTTCAATTGACAGGTATCGAAAACTACTCTATTTGATTTAGATCTATGAGAGTAGCTCTATTGGGTATGAACAAATTGGGGTTGGTAGATGGTTCTTGTGCTGAAGAAAAATTCCCAGAAATAATATGGAATCATTGGGAAAGAGTTAATGCAATAGTCCTTTCTTGGATTATGAGTTCTGTGGCTAATGGATTGTTAGTGGAATTATGTATGCTTCAAGTGCACAAGCTGTTTGGAATGATTTGTTTGAAAGATTTAACAAAGTAGATGGAGAAGAATCTTTTAATCTGCACAAAGAAATTATAACCTTAAGTCAAGGAACTGCGTCTGTATCTGTTTACTTTTCGAAATTGAAGGATTTGTGGGAAGAATTTGAAGCATTGGTTCCATCCCCTGGTTGTGATTGTGAAAAATCAAGGGAGTTTGTGGCACATTTACAGAAATTGAAACTGTTCCAGTTCTTGATGGGGTTGAATGACTCATACCGTCGAGCAAGAACCAAATACTGTTAATGAGTTCAATGTGTACTGTAAATCAGGCGTATGCAATGATCATCAGTGATGAAAGTAAAAAGAAAATAGTAGCAGCTTCAGTAGGGTTGTTAGGTGCAAATCCAACAAATGTTGCTGGTCAATATGATGTGACTATATATTCAAGAATAGGTGGAAACCAAAGGTTTAATCAGAAAGCAAGAAAGGGGATTGTGGGATATCCCACAAACTTTAAACTCACGAAGAAAGGGGAGTTGGGAACTATACTGCTCACAACACACTGACTGAGTCTGCAACTCACAACACTGGAAATACAAGATTCAATAATGCAGCTGCTTACAATGTCCTAAATGAAGACAATTTACAGAACAATCAGACTACATGGAATGCATTTGACCAGTTCACTGGATTAATAGATGCTGCAAATCAATCTATGGGACAAAATATGAGTAATCAACTCAATCTGCAAGGTCAACTGACTAGTTGCACATTTACTAAAGAGTAGTATGAGCAGATCCTCCATTTGCTAAATAACAACAAGACTGGTCCAACTTCTAGTGCCAATGTAGCAGGTACATCCAAGTATTTTAAAGATTGGATAATAGACACCGGTCTACCGATCACATGGTAGCAGATATGGACTTGTTGGATAAGTCTACTATTGCGCAAACTCAGTATCCAAAAAAGAGCGTTCATGCCCAATGGAGATGTGACACATGTTACACACACTAGAGCCAGTATTATAGCAAGTAGAAACTCAATAACTAATGAGTTTTATATTCCTCAGTTCAAATTTAATCTTCTTTCAGTTTCTAAACTAACAAAAGAGTTGAGATGCTTAGTACTCCCTCCGTTTCATATTAAATGAGGTACTTTCCTTTTTAGTCTGTTCGAAAATAAATGACTCATTTCTAAATTTGGAAATAATTCAACTTTAAACTTCTCATTTTACCCATTTTACCCTTAATGAGAAGCTTTTATAACCACACAAAAGTCATGGCCCCACAAAGCTTTATCCCTTAAGCTTTTAAGACCACAAATTTTAAAAGTCTTTCTTTTTTTCCTTAAACTCCGTGCCGAGTCAAACTACCTCATTTAATTTGAAACGGAGGGAGTAGCTTTCTTCCCTGGTTTTTGCATTTTTCAGGAACTCTTCACAGGAAGGTGAAAGCGATTGGTAGAGAAGATGATGGGTTGTATATACTAAGAAGTCAAGCAGCAGGAAACAATTGTAGTGAAGTTACTTTGGCAGCTACTGAAAGACCAACAAGCTATGATATCAACTCAGCAGAGGACATAGAATAGTGGCAAAGGAGATTTGGACATGTATCGGCAAATGTACTTAGGAAGTTACTACCTATTACTCTAGATCTTAAAACAGAAAAAATAAATAAGTGTGATGTATGCCCATGTGCAAAGCAAACAAGGCAACCTTTTCCTAATAGTTGCATTAGGTCTACTGCATCATTTGATTTGGTTCATATAGATCTTTGGGGACCATATAAAGCAGCTACATTTGATGGTAACAAGTATTTCTTAACAGTGGTGCTATTTTTGCTCAAACTTAAGTCTGATGAATGCACTATTCTTCAACAATTCATAATGTATGTAAGGACTCAGTTTAACAAAACAATTAAAGTCATTTGAACTGACAATGGTACTGAGTTTGTCAAAACAACCTACAACAATATGTTCACTAATCTTGGGATAATTCATCAGACTACCTGTGCCTACACACCACAACAGAATGGTGTGGCTGGGAGAAAACACAGACATCTTCTAGAAGTCACACGAGCAACTAGATTTTAGGCACATATACCTATAAGGTTTTGGGGATACTGTGTATTAGCTGCAGCCTATTTGATTAATAGAATGCCAAGTTCAGTTCTAGCCAACATATCTCCATATGAGAAATTGTATGGAAAGAAGCCATCACGAAAACATGTAAAAGTACTAGGATGCTTATTCTTTGCAAAGATAGTGCAAGAACAAGATAAACTGATACCTAGGTTTAAGGCAGCCATTCATATGGGATATGCAACTTCTCAAAAGGGGTATCTACTGTATGATATTAACAGCAAGACCTTCTTTGTCAATAGAGATGTTATTTTCAAAGAAGACACTTTTCTATTCAAAACTCTCAATCAAAATAAATGTTTACCTATCTTCATGATTAACAACAATCTTCAACCAATATCAGATGATACAGTCAATCAATTCACTACTGAAATGATTGAACCAAGTCATACTGACTTTCAAACAAATGAAGTTGAGGATATTCACAACACCACAGAAGATGCAAATTAACAAAGTTGAAGCCTACCAGCTGATCATACACAATGCACTACTTCTTGAGCCTTGAAAGAACACACATCAATTGAGGTAGAAACTGATACTTTACCCTCAAGTATTTTATCTTCAAGTACTATTCATGCTCAATCATCCGGTCAGCAAAATTCAATAGAAGAGGTTTTAAGAAAACCAAGCAGAGACAATAGACCACCACTCTGGATGAAAGACTTTATATCTTTAAATATTCATCAGGAAATCCTTATGCCTTATCTAAATTCATATCATATGAAAACATTTCTCCTACCTATCAATCCTTTATTGCTGCATCTTCTTCTGTTTCTGAACCTACAAACTATCATGAAGCTATCAAAGATCCTAGATAGATAGATGCTATGAAGGTTGAGATTGAAGCTTCAGAAAACAATCACACTTGGGATATAGTTTCACTGCCCGAAGGGAAATCACCTATAGGGTGCAAGTAGATTTACAAAATAAAATATAAAGCTACATGGAAAATTGAAAGATTTAAAGCAAGATTGGTTGCAAAAGGATTTAGCCAAAAAGAAGGAATTGATTACCAAGAAACTTTTTTCACCCGTGGTAAAAATGATAACTATAAGAACTGTTCTAGCAATAGTTGTTGCTAAACAGTGGCATATACATCAAATGGATGTATATAATACATTCCTTCAAGGGGATCTACATGATGAAATATACATGGATTTGCCTCAAGGATTTAACAGTCAGGGGGAGACAAAACCAATATGTAGACTTACTAAATCCTTGTATGGATTGAAACAAACACCAAG